TTTAATTCACATGGTTTAAAGGTGATAGATTAATAACTACCAAAAATTGTCATTTTCTAAACTGTGCTTGATGTTATTGTGTTGCTGATTGTATCATTTGGGCTAAAGTGTTGTGATTGATCCAATCAGTCCTCCTGTATAGTGAAAATGAGATTGCCTTAGAGTCATTAGAAGACTCAAACCCCAAAGACCGTCTATATCTGGAAGATCAAAGTATTAACCAAGGAATCAAATCAAGTACAGTACCAAGAAACAATAGGAATGAGAAGACATTTAAACAAGACATAAGCACAGAATCCCACCTCACCAAAGGTAAGCTCTGGGGGAAATGAGGTGCAAAACTCTGAGAATCAATCATCTGGACACCCTGACTGATAGCACAGAAAGTTAAAAAAAAACAGAAAAATGAGGCTCTAGAAAAATTTAAAACAGAAATAATTTTCCATATAACCACAGAAATGATGAGAAGAGTGAAAGACATGATTAGAGACTCTAGAACAGAAACAGAGGAAGAAAAATAGATGAGCTCAGGACCATGATGGAAACCATGAATGTGAAGCACAGGAAAGAAATGGAAACCTTGAATGCCCAACATAGGAAAGAAATGGAATCCACAAAACAGATTCAAACTGATATCCAGGAAAAACTCTATAGGAAACATCCTCAGCAGAATGAATGAATGTGAAGAAAAAATTTCAGATATAGAATTGAAGTCAGTAACCAAGAAAAGAGAGATCTCTTAAAAACAGTAAGGGATCATGAGAAATCAATCCAAAACCTCTTAGATGATACAAAGAAGAATAATGTAAGACTGATAGGAATACATGAAGTAGCATGAGAAAGTACAAATGACATGAAAAAGAAACTGTTCACAGAATTAATGACAGAAAACTTCCCAGAGTGAAAGAATTTGACATACAGATAAGTGAGGCATATAGAACTCCAACTAGCCATTATACAAAAAAAAACTACACCTAGACATATAATAATCAAGATCCCTGAAACCCAATAAAAGAACAAAATACTACAAGCAGTTAGAGAAAAGAAACAAATCACTTGCAAAGGAAAGCCCATCAGAATCACAGCAGACTTTTCAACACAAACCCTCAAGCCAAGGAGAGCCTGGAGTGATGTATTTTTTTCAGCTTTAATTGAGTTTATTGGTACATTTTAGGGATAAAATACAGTTATATTCATTGTTGGGATTTTGTACCTCTACATGACATGTCTTGGTTCTCATTTTTTCCCCTTGTCCCTGCCCTCCCTCTACCCCCTCCTCCCCTCCCCATCTACAACCACTTTATTTCCATCATTTCATTATCTCACATTTTTTTCTTTTCCTTTTTTACCCTTCCCCTGCCCAGCACACCTTCCCTACACCTTTAGCTCCTTTCTTCCCATTTCTCAATGTCATATCACAGAGAAGTATGCACACCCATGTTTATAGTAGCACAGTTTATAATAGCTAAAACTTGAAAACAATTCTAATGCCTATCAACTGGAGACTGGTTAAAGAAGATGTGGTGTTTCTATAAAATGAAGTACTACTCAGCCACAATGAATGAGAAACTAGAGACCTTTATGGCTAAATGGATGCACACTGAGGGTGTACTCTTAAATGAAATAAATAGGACACACTTGAATAAATACTGAATAGTTTCTCTGGTGTGAAAAGCTAAAAGTGTAAATAAAGTTCAAATGGTATAATTTATAGTGTGGAATAGGAAGCAAATGGCTAAAGGGGAAGTGGGAAGGGGAAGGGAAACGAAATAAGGGAAACAAAGTCTTTGTAAATAGGTAAGGGTGAAGGCTTTGAAGGGCGGGCAGGGGTATGGGGAAATAACAAGAACCAAGACATATCATGTAAAGGTGCAAAATCCCAATGATAAATGTAACTGTAGTGTTTGCTTTAAATGTACCAATAAACTTAATGGGAAGAAAAAGGAATATAACTTTTGCAAATGGGAAGGGGAAACACACCAAAAAAGAATTAAACTATGTTATGTACATGTACAAATTTCCCATGATGAGAGTGATCATTATGCTCTGCAACTATGTACTAAAAAAAAAAAAAAACAGAAAAAAACAACATTCCCTACCTTGTCATGTTATAGTAAGGTTTAATGAGATAATATGTAAAAAAGAAAAGGCAGCTTTGTTGAAACTGGCACACTTGAAATTTTATATAAGTATTTTATAAAAAAATAAAAACTATAATGACTCAACGCTCATTTAATATTTAACTGTAATCACACAAGGTAAAGAAAATGTGATTTTGGTTGCTAAGATACAGTCAGTGATTGCCATAGGTATGATAGAACTTTGACAGCCATTGTTAAGTCATTGCCTTGCCTACCCTGTAGAAGTGAGCAGCTGGACTGGGTTAATCTGGCCAGATAACTAGCAAGCTCAATGAACCCTTTTATTACCCTTATGTCTTTCATCCAAAAAAAGAACTTCTTAACTAACTACCTCAAGGTAAGAAAAATATATTATCTTCATTTTATAGATAAGAAATCTAAAAGTGGTAGGCTCAAATTTAGATGATTTCATTCCGGATTATACAACAGAGGCACTAAAGATAAGATACAAATCTAATAATCCCTATTTCAACTGATTTCCCATTTGGCTATATTACTTATCCTTCCTCATAAAGGCAGAACCTGTTTAATGCTGGGTTTTCCCCTGTTGGTGACACTGACGAATACACAGATCCTGAGATCAAGATGGGAAGCTCTGCCAATGATCAAGAAATAGAGGTTAAGCTGTCACTTGTCTCTCTCTTTTTTTTTTTTAGACAGGTTCTCACTATGTAGTTGAGGCTGACCTGGAACTCACTATGTAGCCCAGCCTGGTCTTGAACTCAGCGATCCTGCTGCCTCAGCCTGCCAAGTGTTTGGATTACAAGGAGGTGCCACCACGCCCAGCTCACTGGCCTCATCTTAAAGGGAGATGGATATCATGGAACCTAGACAATTAGGTCTTTTCTTTTTCATTGAGTTTATTGGTACTTTTTAGGTATACAGTTACATTAATCATTGGGATCTTGTACCTTTACCTGACAGATCTTGGTTCTCATTTTTTCTCCATACCCTTGCCCTCCCTTCATCCTCTCCATCCTTCCCTATTTATAAAGACTCTGTTTCCAATATATCCTGTTTTAGCATTTTTTTCTTTTCCTTTATTTCCTTTCCCCTACCCTTCCCACTTCCCCTACACCTTTTTTCCTATTTCTCATTGTCAGTTATACAATTTGAATCTTATTTATACTTTTAGTTTTTCACACCAGAGAAACTATTTGGTATTTACACGTGTGTCTTATTTATTTCACTTAAGAGTATGGCCCCAATATACATCAATTTTCTTAGGAATGACTAGTTTTGCATTCTTTACTAGGCAATTAGGTCTTGATCTTTCAGGCTCCAGATCTTGTCACTTTCATGAGCAAGGCTGGAGTAAGTCTGGTTTTGATTAGAGGCTATATATAATGCTTCCTTTTTATCTGGCATAAAACACTGTCATTCTCAAGGAGATCCTTATGGAAGCTGAATGATTTCCTAGGAAGGGAGAGAGCTATACTCTAAGAATTTGATGAAATATGAATCTGTATATGGAAATACCAATTCTATAAAAGTGCATGGTTGGATGACTACAAAGCATCCCTGAATTATTCATTAATAAGAAACCACAAAAACTGCCCTTCAGATAAATAAGCAAAGCCCATCTGAGTATCAAATAATTTCCTAACTCAACCAACACTAGAATCCCATGCAACCAACAGAGAAATGTAAATAAAAATCACAATGAAATACCATTTCACAGCCACAAAGATAACTATAAATGAAAAGGTAATGATACTTGTATGTGTTGGTGAGGATATGGAGAAACTTGATCTGTCCTGCATTGCTGGTGGGAATATAAAATGTTATACCTACTTCGCAAAACAGTCTGGCAGTTCTTCAAAAGGTAGTTCAGAAATTACACCCTTTGGTGTATACTCAAGAAAAATTAAACATGCTCACACAGAGACTTATATATATAAATGTTTATAGCAGCATTCTTTATAACAACCAAAAAGTGAAAACAACCCAAATGTCCATCTGCTGATCTGCCAATAAGCAAAATATGGTACATTCATACAATGGAATATTTTTCATCCATAAAAAAGAATACAGTACTGACACATGCTACAGCATGAATAAGCCTTGGAACAACTGCCTAAATTACTCTTTTCACGTAGGCAATTACTTCCAAATCTGACAGCACATTGAAAACCAGAAAACTTGCACAGCTTCCTGAGAATCTTTGAGAAAAGCACCTGGGTTGATGTTTGAAATCCATTAGACTAGGTGATCTCCAAGGCCATTTATACTCTTGGAATTATAGGAAATCTAAGATAATTGCCCATGAACACCCACATATTTGAAGCAGAGACAAAAAGAGAGCCAAGCTTAATGAATAGTTGTTACTTAGAATAGGTGCCCCAGTAGGTCCTTATTTAAACTTAAATTTATTCTTCTCAAAGACATCATCCCACCCCTTTCCCATGGTCGAATAAAGGTATTCCTAATGGGGACAACCTATAGCTGAAGGGATAGGACACACCTGAATACTTGATTGTTTCTGTGTGGGTTGTTTTAATAACAAGTCATCCTATTTGGTAGGAAGCTACATATTAATTAGCAGAAAATCTGACACTGTAGTTCAGGATAACAACTCTCTCTCTCTCTCTCTCTCTCTCTCTGTCTCTCTCTCTCTGTCTGTCTCTGTCTCTCTGTCTCTCTCTCTGTCTGTCTGTCTCTCTCTCTTTCACACACACACACACACACACACACACACATTTATAGACAAGTTTGAATTGAATGAAGTAATGGAATTCCATTAGTCTCAGGCTTTCTACTTAATGGCACTTGTTTGTCAGCTGGCATGGGTTCATTATTAATAATGATCTGATTTCTCATTTATTTTCTTTCCTTAATATTTGCAAAACAATTTGAATCATGTTACAGCTGCTGATTTCATGATGGTTTTGACTAAAGACAACTAAAAAGAAATGAAGGTAATGTTACAATTGTTTCTCTAGACCTATTCCTCCATTTCTTCACATGTATCTGACCGTAGTCCTTCAATGGAAAAATCCTCGTGATATATTTGGGTAGTAATTAAGCAGTATCTGTGAGATTGGGAACAGAGGTGAAAAAGGATTGACATTCTACAAGGTAAGTAAATCATGAAGAAAAGCATCTTTGGAGGTTTGGGGCCGGGGCTCCCACACCACCTTCTACCACTTTGGCTGGAAGAAGTGCCTCAAATTCTAAGAATAAAAGAAAGAAATGAAGAAAAAAAACTATTTTTAAGTCTTTGGCTCATTTTTCTTTACCATTTCCAGAAATGTGATGGTCATTATCATTGGCTTGAACAACTCAGGCAAAACTGCTCTTGTGGAGGCCATTCAAAGATATTAGGATACGAACTAAGGCATTAGACACTGGTACAATTCTCCCAAAGTCCAATTAAATAATTATTCTCTGCTAGCCTTACTTCCTAGCTCTCAGTTCCCCATTCAGTTCCACTCTCTGTCTCTCTCTGCCCTTCCTTCCTAGCCTGTTTATATAACATTTGTCACCTGTTTATTTTATAGAATGTCCTAATTGAAAGTCTTCTCACTGTCAGTTTAAATGAGCTCAAACTATACAAGTCATTGCCCTCAATTATGAAGGATAACATGTTTAAAATGGTATCCTTGGGCTGGGGATTTAGCTCAGCAGTTCAGTGGCCTGCCTTGCAAGCGCAAGGACCCGAGTTCGATCCCTGGTACCAATAAATAAATAAATAAATACATACATACATACATAAAATGGTATCCTTCTGTAGAGCTTAATCAACATGAAATTTAGTCATGATAAGAGTCAACTGTGGAATGATAAAAAAGTTTAATAACATGAAACTTTGTGACAGCTAATATACAGGGTTGGAACTTGTAAAACATTGTCAGTTCAGAGATATACAAGTTTAATACCACATCCCCAATTTAATACCTTAACATTTCCAGAAGCAGTTACACAGAATTTCAGGAAGCATTGTACTAGTTGTGAATATTCAGCTAACTACTAATCAATTAATCTAAGAGGTGAGTGCCTTGTCTGGCATAAGACAATATATATAACTTGGCTAAATTTCATATAACCTAGCATTCCTAAGAAAAGTACAGTATAGAAAAGGGCTAATCTGGCTCCTCTATCACTAGCCTACTTGAAGACTCACAATTTCCTTGAGCTATTGCAGTGGCCATCTGGCTGATCTTGCCATCTACAGTTGTCCCTCAGTTGCCAGAAAGATTTATGCAAAAATCTAATCACGGTGTTTCTTACACAAACTTTTCAAGGTCTCCCACTGTGTTCAAAATAAAATTATTGCTCCTTAATAGTGCACAAGGCCTTACATAATTTGGCCTCTTTCTCATTCAGCTTCATTTCCCATGCTCTTTGCATATGTCTTCTGATACACCAAAACAAATACTTTGTCATTCCTCTGCCACCACTCTTCCAGTTTACATGGCTACACTTTTTGTACCTGCTGTCCTACTACCTAGCATTTCATCCCCTCTGTGATCCAAAATCTGCCAGAGTAGTCTTGACTACAGGAAAACCTCCCCTCATTCCCAGTGCCTCCTTTCTTTCTCGCACTCTACTCTATGTGTTCCTCTAGCATGCATGTATCTCACCATCCTTGGACAACTGCAAGTCCATCCCCTAGATCAGTAATGGTGAACTTTTTAGAGCTTTCAAAGATACAAACAACCTGCTGTAGCATGCATGCCACTGGATCACCACTGGTGCCCGAGACTGTGAATCACTTGAGACATAATGGATCTTTGCATTTTTATATATTTTGTCTCTTATTTTAGTATCTTCAGTCAGGTATTCAATAAATATTTGTGGAATGAATATTTGCCACCATTCATCCATTTCTCTGAAACTTCATGTTGCTATTTTATAACTTCTTCCCCTGTCCAGTAACAGCCCCAAGCACCAAATTTCAGCTAGTTTCAGCCTTGTATCCCTCCTTAGGGGCAGCAACCATAAATCTTCCATTTCTCTGATAGGCAGAAATGGTAAGAAAGTAATAATAGAAGGAAAGTTAAGGAAGCAGTATGAATCACAGGACACTGATGAAAGTGGAAATAATTTTCTAGAATGCCAACTCAGCCTTGCCTATAGATTATTTTTCTGTTTGAATGGTGCTTGAGAATCTGTATTTTAAGACCTCCCCAGGTATTTCTGAGGGCCAGCCAGCTTTAGGAAGCAATCATGTGCAATTAGCCATATGCTATTAGTTGGCAAGAATAGTGTCTGTTTTCCATTCTAATTCCTAGAGGACAATGTCTGAAGTCTATTTTTGCTGTTGTATAACTTGCAATTGCTCAAAGAATAACTTGGGGATGATTCATAAATGTTTTGGTTTATGGCAGTGACTTCATTCCCAGAGGAGATTTTTATTGGCACAATGTCACATTCTGAAAGACATTTCAGGCAACGTCTATGCATGCTGGACCTTCAGAGTCAATCTAGTGGGTTGTTGTGTACATACAATTCATTTAGCTCACTTTGCTCCTGCAAATGTTTTAAAGGGCAGATAATTGCCTGAAAAGGAAATTCCAGTCTAGAAGTAGTAACTTGTGTGCACATTTGAAGATGCCAGCTATAGAATATTTTGGCACACAAACTGTCATTATTGATGGTACCATTCACTCTGTTTTGTCTGGCATGGTCACACAGGGCAAGAAACCCAAGCATGAGCACAAGCAGGTGCCCTAAATAAGGACAATGTGTCTACTGCCTCTCAACTTAGCTATACATTTCAATCACCTAGAAGCTTTTAAAAACAACATGATACTTAAGCTCCAGCCCTGATCTATAAAATAAAACCTCCAGAGAATGAGGCCTAGCATCACTGGTTTTGAAACTTCCACTGATGATTGCAGAGAACAGTGAAAGCAAGAAATAATGATCAGAATCACCTAGTGAGCCTTCACACCTCCTGACCAATTACCCAAAGACTCAGATACCTTGGTGTAAGTGGTAGAATCTATATATTAACAAGTTCTCCAGATGATGCTGAAACACAACCAGGTGTGAGTTTCAAGGCATTCTAGAGCAGTTATTAGGCTTTAAAATGCAGAAGAAAATCCAGGGAATTTTGTTAACTATAGGAATTTGTTATATACAAATACTTGGGTCACCAGCCTAGAGTATTTGAGTTATTCAGTCCAGGGTGGCACTTAACTCTGAAGCAGATAATCTCCAGACCATGCTTGATGACACACTCTGTCAGGGTTATAGAAATAACTGAGACTCAGTACCTTCCTCAGAGTAATTATAAATTAAAATAGGAAATAAGAGAAATATAAATTTCCAGGGAACAACTTCTTGCGGCATCTAGTGTTGATCAACAATAGACTGCATTATTGAAGCAATTAGTAAGGTTTCAAGTAAAAAGAAAAAGAATTAGGGAAATGTTTTTCTTTGACAAGGAAACATAAAGCTTGCTGAGATTTGGGAAACAAGATTTTAAAATTATCTTTAGAGTTTTAATCTATTCACTATCTGTGTGTGTGTGGCAATGAGGATTGAACCTGTGGCCTTTACAGTGAGTGCCACCTACAGCCCCACCTTTTTATTGTTTGAGACATGGTGTCACTAAGTTTTCAAAGTAGGTCTCAAACTTGTGATCTTCCTTAGTATTCACTTTTTATGTTTAAGTAGTCTAATACAGACACAGAAAATATTACATCAGAATTGTAACTGAAAATTTTGCTATAAAAACTATAATTAAAAATGTTATTGACTACTAACATGAAAACAGAGATATTACAAAATCACATTAAAATGTAATGATAATATGTACATGCATACACACATATATAATTATATATGTATACTATTAAATATGTTTAATTATTAATTTCCAAAGACTGGAAAACATATTACTAACTTCTTGGCTTAATGACTCATTCTGGAAATCCTATGGAAAATATCACCGGCAGATCTGAGACAAAAAAAAGAAGTTATTCCTAAGTGAAATAAATAAGTCACACATGTGTAAATACCAAATAGTTTCTCTGGTGTGAAAAACTATAATAGTATATCAGATCCTAATGATATAATTGACAATGTGAAATACTAAGAAAAGGGCTAAAGGTGTAGGGAAAGTGGGAAGGGTAGGGGAAAGGTAATAAGGGAAAGGAAAAAATTAGAAAATGAAAAAATGGATATAAAGTGTCTGTAAATGGGGAGGGGAGGAGGGGGTGAAGGGAGGGCAGGGACAAGGGGAAAAAATGAGAACCAAGACCTGTCATGTAAAGGTACAAGTTCCCAATGATGAATGTAACTGTACTGTATACCTAAAATGTACCAATAAACTCAATGAGAGAAAAAATTTTTAATTAAAAAAAGGAGTTACTGATTCTGGTCTTAATACTCCCAGGTATGGGTGTGAAGAATCTATATAATCATTTTGCTACTAATGTGGAAAGAGAGTTGGCCAGAACTACCAATTCAGTAGAATGGAATGCACATAAAGACTTGTCATTTTGAACTGTATTTCTATGGGAGCTGAATGAAACATTCCTTACGGAATTTTATGTTTCAGTGATGACTTAGGCATAGTTTCTTGGGAGAGATATGCAAGAGAAGACCTTATACACTCTTCCATAGTAACAGTCACCAGAAACATTTACTGAATAACCTGTGTGTAAGGTAATGGGAGAGCACAGAGATATGTGAAGTTCCCATTCAACAGACAATGTGCTAAAACACACACACACACACACACACACACACACACACACATGCACAAGCGCACACACACAGAGGGGGGAGGAATGGGGAGGAGAGAGAGAGCGGGGAGAAAAAAGAGAAGAGAGGAAGGGAGGGGAGAGGAAAGGAGAGAGAGATATGAGAGGGAGAGAAAGATAACAGATAAGGTAAGATAAAGCTTCCTAAAGAAAGTGGTCCTTGAGTTGGTCCCTGAAGAACTACAGTGTTGGTCCACTGTTCATTGATTCATTTATAAAATTCATCCAGCGTATATTTATTGGATTCCTGTGTGTCACTGCTATGCTCAGCACCATAAATATAGTGGTGAATAAAATGAAAAGAGCTGATTTTCCTTCTTCAATTCATAACTCAGATAAGTAAATCATCAAATTTATAACACTGTAACACATCACATGTGTTTATGATAATAGTATGTTCCAGAAGAGACACCTTATCCAGACTGGGGATGGTGCCTTGAAGGAACAGCTTTCTAGACTGAAAAGATCTAAAGTGATATTTAGAAAAGAATAGGCATGAAGGAAGCACAGAGTAGCGGAAGAATGTTCTAAGCCAGTGATGGAGAACCTTTTAGAGATTTCAGTGATACCAAACAGCTGGCTGTGGCACATGTGCCATAGGTTCACCACCACTATAATCTAAGCCAAAGGAACGGCATCTTGTGATGGCTCAGAGCAAGAGAGGGCATAGTGTGTATATAGAACAGAGACAGTGCGAGCAAGAAAGAAATGGAGGAGAAGACTGGATAGGAACCAGGAACATTGTGACCACCTGTCAAGTCAGTGCCAGGGTATAGGTCTAGCAAGTTAGAAGGCTGCATTCTATCCTGAGAACAGTGGGAACTCACTGTAGGTTACTAAACCAGGAAGGTAGCAAGGATGAATGAAAGGCTTAGAAAGATAGGTCAATGTATGATCAGTGTGGCAGTATACTTCAGTAGGATTTCTCAAAGCAGGCTGCAGCCAAGGTTCAATACATTGTTTGATATAACTATACTTTCCGGCTTTATGGTTGTCTCGCCCCTCTACCCTTAAATGTAGTACTTCCCAGCAGGATACACAATGGTGTGAAATCAAAACTGACTATACTCCTGTTAGATGAGTGTGAATTGTCCCTCCATGACCTGACTGGATAGACCCTTGGGGCAGAGAAAACTGGTCAAGCTACTATGCTCAGACATGGGCTTGTTTTTGTTCTAGATTCCAGTGACTTAGGACACATGCACAAACCAAAGATCATCTTAACACATATAATGTATGATTTTTTAAAAGGTGGCAGGGAAGCCCATCTTACTGTTAGATTCTACTTTTGTGTCCTATTTCCCCTTCCCAGTTTTTTTTTTTTTTTTTTTTTTTTTTTTTTTTTTGATGGGTT